CAACGAGGGACTACCCTAGTCCAGGGGGTAGGTAATAGGTTATATTGGCCGACCCTAGACCCTCCACCATAAGCACTACCAGGTTCCTTTCCGATTGAACAGCCCCTACTACCACTACCAATCACCCCACCGCAGGAGTAAGAGAGGTATACTGGCTCTGGTTAGGGGGTGGATACCGAGGGAGATTAAAGGGACCAGATCCAGCAAGAAGAAGCGGATCTTAAAACCACTGAAGACGAACTAGAGAAGTAACTTTAGGCAGAGCTACTGGCTCCGAGAAGAGAGATAATCGGAGATATAGATACCAGTAATATACTCAGTGGTAGGCGTAGACGCCAAGTAAGGCAGGAAAAAGACTTCGCCTACGCGATAAGCACCACCTAAGAAGTGGAACCGCCGGCGCTACTCTATACTTTTACCGCTGGCTTATACGCTGAGAAACCAGACACTCGCCGCCACCGAGACGACCTCCTACTACCGCCAAAATACTGGAAGGATATAATAAACCACCTATTTCAGGAAGGTTTTCTCGCAGCGATAAGGAAGGAGATCAACTCCCTCTCTGAAAAGGGGACTTTTGAGGTTATTAAGAAACCAAGAGACCGAGGGAAGCAGATTCTCCCTCTTTTATAGGTGTTCTTATATAAATTTGACCAGGACGGGTACCTTTTGAAGCTTAAGGCCTGTATCTGTGTGCGCGGAGACCTTGAAACTATCTCTCACGAGGAAAAGAGAGCTGCTACGCTAGCAGCAAGGACAGCGAGGATGATTTTTGCCTTGGTTGCTGCCTTTGATCTTGACCTAAGACAGAGAGATGCTGTCACCGCGTTCCTAAACAGCAAGTTAGACCAAGAGACGTATACACATATACCTAAGGGATTTCAAAACCTAGGTAAATGCTGGAAGTTACGTCGCGCGCTATACGGTCTACGGATTTCACCACGACTTTGGCAGCAAGAAGCAGTAAGCGTGCTCCGCAAGCTAGGTCTACAGCAAGTGCCAGAAGACCCATACGTTTTTATAGGAAAAGGACTACTGGTTTTCTTCTATATAGATGATATCCTAATCGCCAGTTATACCAATGCAAAGGCGCAGGCACAGCAATTAGAGCGAGATCTCGAAGCACACTGGGAACTGACCGATCATAGAGAAGCAGTATAGTTCCTAAATATACGAATCATTCGAGACCGGCAACAAAAGAAGCTCTGGTTATATTAAGATAGCTATATAACAAGCATTGCTACCCGATATCACTTAACAGAAAGGGCACCAGTCTATACTCCACTGCCGGTTGAGGAATTAACCCCTTTTCAGGGGGTGGCAACGCCAAAGGAAATCCTGCTATACCAGCAAAAGGTGGGCTCAGCAGGGTATACCACCATTATCACTAGGCCCGACGCTGCAAAGGCGACCGCGAAGCTCGCGCAATTTCTCACGAACCCCGGTCCACAGCACCAGCAAGCAGCTAATCGAGTCATCACCTACCTCTACTCCACCCGGAACCTAGCGATTGAGTACGGAACAGCCAATACTGGGACCGACTCGGTGCAGTTTGTAAGTAACGCTTCGTATAGAGACCACCCGGATAGAAAAAGCTCAGCTGGGTATATCTGTCAAGTATACGGCGGTCCAATTGACTGGAAAGTAAGCAAGCAACCCACAGTGACAATATCAACCACAGAAGCAGAGCTACTCGGCCTATCGGAGGCAGGAAAGCAGCTCCAATGGTGGCGCCGATTGCTTCAAAACCTCGCCTTTACTCCGTCACACCACCTGACAATCGACTGTGATAACGAGAGGACTATCAGCTTATTGACAAGCGAGGACACAGCTTTTGAAACGAAGCTTCGATATATCGATATTCACCACCATTGGCTCCGCCAGGAAGTCCAACAGGGTCGAATACGGGTGCGCTGGGTGCCTACAGCAAGCATGGTTGCTGATGGCCTCACCAAATTGCTCACTCGGCAAAAGCATGAGAACTTCGTGCGACTGCTCAACATGGTTGATATAGGCCATCTTATAGACTAGGAATTACAAGATGATACAGCGATCTCAGCAAGCATACTGGGACCGCTGAGGGGGTGTGTCGGCGCAGATACACCAGGATACCGGAGGATTTATTAATCCTAAGTATGCAGTAATATTTCTTATGTAATCAGGACAGTATAAATTGCCAGGAAGTCAATACAGCAATACGGAGAGTTGAATACCATTCATTGGACCCATACATTTCCACCATACGGAGTAGTCGGACAGATTTCCCTTCACCGGCCCGGTCTTTTTAACATGAGACAGACATCACCCCGCTGCTTGAGCTTTCCTTGGGTCTAGGTTCCGCATGATAACAGGCGCTATCTCACACGCACTCCTTTAGAAATCGCAGGATGTAACTTCCTTTCACGGCTAGCATGCGGGGCAGAAGTCGTCGATATCGGGAAGCCTCCGATGATCGAAAGCTATAAATGTATTCCGTATCTTCCTCCAGATTCTATGAATCCGACAGTGTTCCTCTACTAGACTTTTGTGTAACAATCGGTCTATATACAACCCCGCAAATTGCATATAATGTCTGCGCGTCGGCCACCTCCAGCTTACACAGCACCGCCCAATTCGGGAGTTCATGCAACTTCGCAGTTGTACCGATCAATCTCCAAAACCGCATCCAGCCCCTCCGCACGCATTTCGAAGGAATCATTTACTATCAGGCCATGCTCTGCCCAAGCATGGATTGTCCCCGCTGGCCACATCTGCCGATTGACCACGCCGAAGGGACCACAGGTGGGAGACTTAAACATCTGGAATGCAAATAACCCCCGAGAACGGATGTGGGCTGCGCGTACCCGACAGATCCACGCCTCCCACGTCTCAGTGGGTGATCGGCTATGGTCAAACCTACCGTACCTGCGGCCCCTCGTAACGATCACGGGGGACTCACTAGGAGGCGGACAACTACATGACGTGCTTGGACCAGATGGAAAGCGCAACCCAGAAGTCGCGTTCGGGACTACGCAGTTTGGTGGGCGAGTGCATGATTTGATGGGCACTCGGTGCGATCCTTACGTGAACTTGCTTATGGGTGGAGAGACCTTTGACTTCCACTGCCATTCGAACCTGACTCGTTCTGTCATCCCCCATGGACTGACGGAGCTAGATGTCCATGATGTCTTGAATGTGTTTCAGGTGACAGGTTTGGATGAGGATGGAAAGTACTTCATGGAGACCTCCCCTGCAAAGGTGGGCGAGTACTTTGAGTTCTTTGCAGAAGTAGATGTTCTCTGCGCGCTATCTGCGTGTCCTGGCGGTATGGCACCTTTACAGTACACAAATGCCTTTTTTTATGCTAATGATACTCCCAGGTGATCTTTCTAATTGGGGTTGGGATGATAAGGAAGGTGATATGGGAGCCACTTGTCGTCCATTGGGTGTGGAGGTATATCAACTGGCAGAGGGCAAGGTCCTAGAGGGATGGAAGTCTCCAGAAAGTCCCAAGTACAAGGGAATGCACGGTATGAAGATGCCTCCCCGCGAAGAGGATGGTTACATTGGATTCTAGGGCAAAAATATCAAATAAAATTACAGAGTCGTCTATTGAAGCGTTGTTGAAGACCTGCAAGACATATTGCCTCGCGTGCCTCGGATATGATGTCATTGCCTCACATTGTTACATCAACAGCGGTCCCCTCCTTTTCAACATAAGTTGTAGGCCAGATTGGAATTATAAGGGGGAGTATAGAGTCATTTCAGTAAGGGATGCAATAAAAATCCGGCTTTGAGAGAGTATAATGTAGAAGCAACCAGGCCCATGTCATACCTACATGTAAGACCAATAGATCACGACATAGTCAAGTAACACGGGGATACCCAAATAATTTCAAGCATACATACTACACACATATGTACATATATACATTCTACGCCAAGGAGATGAAGAGTGAAAGAGAAAGGGAAAAAGGGTGATGATTGGAAGGTACCTGCTTTAAAAGGCACCTTCCCCCAAAATAAAGTGTAGCCTCCCACCCCTCAAGCCCCTCTCTTATAAATTCTTTCTTTCTTTCTATTCTCCCTTTTCCTTTATCCACGCTTTCCCACTCGGACACATATTTCGCTATCTGACACCATGCCCCTTTACAACGTGAGTTCGGTTTTATTTTGGAATCAACCGAACTAACATCTACCTAGATCACGCTGAAGACCGACGCTCCCGTCGAGGAGCTGGAAAAGTATGTCGCATTATTACAATCTCAAATACCTTGATACTAACATGTCTTCTTAGGGCCAAGGCCTCGGTCAGGGAGAAGGGTGGTGTCATCAGACATGAATACAGCATCATCAAAGGCTTCACGTAAGTCGTGGTGCGATCTATGTCATCAAGACGCATACTAATATATGGATCAATATTAGTGCTGAGTTCCCCGATGACAATGTCCAAACCTTCGAATCTACTGAGCATGTCCACGTTGAGCAGGATGGTGCAGTGGAGACTCAGTAGATGTCCCCAGTCAACATTGCTAGGACTGAAGACTCCAGTGGCTGTGGATGTTCTGCTTTATGACCGAACGGAAACACTAAAGCTGGCTATCTGGGTGGCCTTTTCTTTTCTTTTTTTGTTTTGCTTCAGCGAGACGACTTGATACCAATTACGCGACCTGTTTTCATCCGTGATGCCATGTACATCTTATGAGTCCATCTTTTCCAAATACGAGAGGTACAGGCATTCATACAGATGGAGCAATTTTCCTGAATCCAACTATCAAGTTGAGTTATGTGCACAGTGTGTATGAATTTAAATTTGAGTGAGCATTATGCAACTATTCGAAAGTAGAAATCCATGTAAATATACCTTTCGCTGGTGAAATAATAACAACCTTGGAGGTTTAATCCCTGTGTTGATCTGGGGATATTAGACCGATGATATCCGCACCGCCGATGCAGATCTTCCGTCCCGAGGTTTCACTGTGAACTCCCGCTCAACTCTCTCTATTTCATGGCAATTCACAATGACAACCGCAATATCTAAAGCTATGCCTTTTCGGCCTGGCTGCCGAGCCCTTCCAATTACAAAACCTCGCTTCTTTCGTCAATCATCAACGCGGAGTCCAAACTGGGCGGGTCGCCCATTTGATGTCGCCAAAGACAATGTTGCGGAGCTGGCTGCGAGTCCCCGTCGGCCATTGACACTTGCAGACCTTCTAAAGTCAGTTCTACATATATATATTATATAACTTATACCAGAGCTGAATCAAAATGTGCTAAATTTATGTCAATCCCTCAGACACGGCCGCCCACCTTTGAACAAAGAAGCTCTTCTAGCCTCTGCCAACTTCACACTTTCCCTCCTCCCCGCCCGACTAGCTTCACGGATCCAAGCATTACGAAACCTCCCTTTCATCGTCGTCTCGAATCCCCATGTCTCTAAAATCTACCATAATTACCTCCATTCGCTATCAACCCTCATACCATACCAACAGCGCCGCATCACGACTCTCGAAGAAGAGAAACAGTTTGGGGATGTACTGGCAGATCTCGTACAAACACATACAAATACAATTCCCGTCCTTGCACGCGGGTTTCTGGAGTGCAGGAAATATGTCAGCCCGGCTGACGTGACGAGCTTCCTAGACACGCATCTACGTGCACGTATCGGTACACGCTTGATCGCGGAGCAGCATCTAGCTCTTCATTATGCCTCCCAACCTATTAGCGATAACCCATCCGACGGTGCTGATGCACCTGCGTCCAATAACTCGATTCCATCAAACTACATAGGCGTCATTGACACAGCTTTGCAACCAGCACGCATCATCCGGGTATGCGAGGATTTCGTTGGAGAAATCTGTGAGCTCAAATACGGAGTGCGACCACGTTTGAAGATTGAAGGTGAGCCCGATGCCTCCTTTGCTCATATCCCTGTACACATCGAGTACATTATCACGGAGCTGTTGAAGAACGCATTCCGGGCAACTATTGAGAATGGAAATGAGCGTGAGCCCATCGAGGTGACCATCGCTGCGGCTCCAGATGTTCCCGGACATGAGCGGTCGATCTCGGGTGATGCCGATGCTGGCTTTGAGCTTGATTCCAAGCTTGCTGGCGCCAATGAGAATGAAACTATCGGGTACTCGGCTCCGTCATCTCAGAGTATTACAATCCGTATCCGTGACCGTGGTGGTGGTATTCCGCCTGAGGTTCTCCCCCATATCTGGTCGTATAGCTTCACGACTTTCTCCGACATGGACTGCCAGGGTTCAGAAAATGGCAACATGGATGCCTTGAACACCATCTCTGCTAGCGGTGGCCATCTCAGCAGTATTGCAGGTCTTGGTTATGGATTGCCTCTCAGCCGAGCCTACGCTGAGTACTTCGGTGGCGGCATTGCGGTGCAAAGTCTGTGGGGATGGGGGACAGATGTTTACTTGACACTGCAGGGAGTTGGGAGAATCGACTGATGAAGCCAATGGAACGAAAGCATTAGATACCCTGAACAAGATCAGCATTTTTGGCTAGTACTTCCAACTCTTGATATCTGCAAATAGCTTTGCCTTTTACAACCTTGCCTTGGCCGATGGCCGGATAAACAGATCTATGAAATCCGAGATCAAGGTATCTGGATTTTGAACAGCACCCAATATTCGACCGATCTCCGTTGCAGAGAACATAAGTCCCATATTTTGGAAAAACTTATCTTGTACTGCAGCTAGTGTTTTGGCGTTCCGCGCATGTCCTACAGGATATTCAATCAGTATTTCAGGCAACGAGGACCCATCTGTGAGGTAGACCGTCATCCCTGCACCAATACTCTTCTTTTCCAGATCCAAGTAGTCCTCCGTGAGCCTAGGATCAGACTGCACCATGATTCTTTCTCTCAGTGCTTCAAGCTCCTCACTATTTGCCCATGGGCTTTTGTCTAGATAGTCCGCAGCCTCTGGCGGACTACCCTTCAAGAAAGCCAAGGCAACCACATACTGAATGCAGTGGTCACGATCAGCAGCGTTGTGCAGCGGCCCATGCTTATTGACGATCAAAAACGCAGCAGCTGTCGTTCGCAGATTTATTCGCTGGGTCTGTTTGAGTGGATCGTACAGGCCCCTCTGTCGAAATTGACGCGCTTGCAAAACGGCTGTCTCCACGGCCGAGATCGCATGCCCTTCTACCGGCATGCTTTTGAACAGTACATTCTGCACCGTCCACGACCCAAATGGTCGTGGAAGTACAAACCCCGCCTCACCAAAAGTCCGCTCCAAAAATCCCCATGGCTTCGCGCTCAACGCCCCTGCCGAACCAGGCTGGTCGTCCTGCACCAGTAGAGCCAACTGCACAGCTCTTCTCGCCGCATCGCCTGCTGCCCACCCTTTCCTCGGGATAGTATTTTTGCCGGATCGGTACACCCGGTTCGGATGGCCATCCATCCAAACATGAGAAATAGTCGCCTTGGCTTGTTCTTCTGTCATCCCAAGCAACCAAGAAACAACAGCAGCAGAAGCCAATTTTACCAGCACCACATGGTCAATTCCATAAGTATTAAACGCATTCCGCATTTGATAACACCCCTGTATCTCGTACGCCTTGACCAGCGCAATGAGCAGCGTCTGTATCGTCAACGGCGGACCATCGTGAACCAGTCGACCAGAAAATTTTGCACGCGACAGCCAATCCATGACTGGGAGTATAGCACCGATGTTATCTGCAATTCAATCCATATCTTAGTCTCACCGGCAGAATTCCCAGCTCCATGTCTTCAACAAACCATACCTGAAGGATGTCCCCACTCCGCACCACCAAGCGCATCATTATGATCCAAATACCGAATCAGGACACCCAGATCGAAAGCACCCTTTACGGGATCGACCTGTAACTCCGTTCCCGGGACTTTGAATCCATCCGGCACGACTGTGCCCTCGACCACGGGCCCGAGCAGCTTTCGGCATTCGGCGCTCGTCGCTGCTGTCTCGATCGCGCAGCCCATTGCATCCAGCAGGGCTGTCCGCGCACATTTCCAAATCGATTCATCGTCTTCGTTGAGGGTGTGGTGGTAGACATAGTTCACTATGTCGACTATTGGCTGGTCGTATGGGCGAGACATTTATGTAATGATGGGTGTTTTGGAATTTTGGTCACTCAGTGGACTGGTTTTTATAAAATCAAGGGGACAATGGCAATTTGTGATTTTGGTATATCTGGGGTACATGTTGTAGAAGTCCTCGGCGGATTTCCTGAATTGGTCCGGTCGCACACGACGATCTTTTGACTTGTTTCATACCTTATGAATGTTCATATTTGTTTTCACATCGTGGTCTGCTACTCCTGGTCATGAACTCCAGCACCTTGAACCCAAGTATCTCGTAAGAAGATAGTTTCATATATCATTCATTCACATTGCCAAAGAGATCCAACCAAGGGTTATCCAGTCTCTCTATATCATCAAAATGTCCCGAAATAGTGAAAGCAACCTCAAGCACATAAGCAAATGAGTTTCCCGAGGTCTAGAATCCGCCAACACCTCTCACTCGCTGTACAGCGCCAATGGCTCCTTTAGCCCAACTGAACCGGCCCGGTACAGGCCCAATCGAGCCCGGTGGGATCTCGCCGGTCTCAGGATCATGCCAGCAGCCATCCTTCGTATTTGCAGCGCCATATTTGGCAGTATTTTGATTGCGATTGATCAGCTGCGTCCAAGCACGACAAACGAGCGCAGAATCAATAAGAACATTGACTTCCTGACTGTGGAAGAATGACTGGGTATCGAGGTTTCCATTTCCTGGAAATATTGTTAGATACAGGGATACAGTATATGTACTACTCTCATGGTGTTTTTCTTGGGACTTACCTTGGATCGCAATCTGCTCATCAACAATCATCAACTTAATATGACAGCTCCGCTTCTTGAAGCTATTATGAATCGGACGAGTCTGGTCCTTGCCGACATAATAGCATACCCGTAGACAGGATTTCTCTTCGTCGGTCTCGAGGGAGTTGTACATCCTGTTCGCAATCATTTCGTTCGTCCCATTTTGGAACGGGAGGAGCTCGCCTGCGTCGTTGTAGCCAAGGCAGAGATAGCAGGATACCACGACGCCCCGGCGAGCGGCGTTAATGAGGGGTTCTATTAGAGGCTCGGCGTTCATATTTGGCGTTTGAATGAGTATTGAGTGCTGGGCGTTATTTATCGCAGAAAGCCATGCTGAGTTTTGCGGAGTGTGGACGCTGCTGTGGTTCGGGGCTTGAAGAAATGGAGAGTCAGGGTCATGTTTGGCTGTTTGAGGGAGTTTCTTTTCGAGGTTTTGACTTACATCCATATGGTTCTCTATTTACCACTGCCATTGCAAAGGGCTCGTGGCGAGGTAGGATCATATAAGGGTTGAACATATTATCCTGATCGCTGTCTGGTGCGTCGCCTGTTGTTTTAGGCTGGATAGTTGTATCTTTTTAGTTGTTAGACATTGTCATAAATAGTGCACAAATTTCACATACTGAGATGACGGCTAACAGCCTGTGTGCGCGTTTCGTCGCCTTGTGGGTAAATACAACCGTTGACTCTTCGGGCCTCTTTTTCAAGGTCCTTATCATAATTTGGGGAGTCAGTAGTATGCTCAGGAAGAGTCGTATCTCCATTCTCTGTAGAAATACCGTTCCTTTCTTCGTGGCATGGTATCGGAGCATCTCTCGCTGGAGAGTTCAAAAGTGGGAACGGGGGGTCGAGAAGCTTTCCCCATGACAGTAAAGCAGTATCATAGAAAGAATCAACAATCGGGCCCTCGATATGGGATAGCATCTCAAGGTTGTCGTTGTCTTGGATATTACTGCTCTGGATGATCGCCATGCGCCGGTCAATAAGAGTAAATTTGGCATGGAACGTCCCAAAGACAGGCCGATGAAAGTTGATGACTTGGAGATCAATATTGGGGATCTCGCTTGCGGCAGGCAGCTTCACCTTTCCGCCGACATATTGTTCCTCGCGGACACTCAGTCTATTATCCCATGCCTAGTGCTTCATTAGAGCCATGTCTGTAGACCGTATTTGATATACATCAGAAGCAAGAGCACTCACCTGGCGAGGATCTCCACGATCATAGATCATCTTCATAACTATTTTCTGTCCCCTTTCTCCTGCTCGTTTTGAAAGTTCCCGGATGGCATTCGTCACTAATGTCGATGCATCCGAATAGATCCAGAAATTGGTACCCAAAAAGACTTCATGTTCAGCGCGCACAATGCAATTCGCTAGGTGGCGACAAAGATCAGGTAACGGAGCGACAATTGTCAGCGGTAGAACTCCTGTGCTTCCCATCAGATGGGGCGATACAACCCCAGACATTGGGTTCTTTTCTAAACAACATAAGGCGTCATGATAAACCTAGTGAACATGTGTTAGATTCTTCACTCTTCCAATGTCGATATAGAAAATCAATTTCACCTTGAGGAATAGATCACTCGTTTCCACGGAACCAAAGTTCCCGCAAGCGCGAGCTTTTTGTAACTCATCCAACGCTTCCCATTCCAACGCTTTGTCGGCATCTGATTCTTCCGCGCCATCGTATGTCTTCGACGCATGATGACTCTCGAACAGCTCATGAAATAGCTTCTGCGGATTCTGCGACGAGTCACGGGCTAATTCTGAGGTCACTGTCTGCCCTTGGCACATATTGTACACCTTGCGTGATACCATCTTGCAACGAAATTGACTGGGACTTGGGGGTTTTCGAACGATTAAAATGATTCCAACGATAGAAAAGGAACAGGTTGCTGCAAGTAACTTAACAAGTTCCAAGCTGTTCAATATTGTTCCAGAAAAGTTCCACGGGTAGAATATACCTTCCATGGCCGAGATGACGTAGGCCTTGGCCCTTAGCTGATGAGAGGCTTCTAGTTTTCGGTGAAAGACAAATGGGTCAAAAATGGAGGCATTCAATCAAAATGGAGTTAAGGAATTGTGATGCCTAAATATTTTATCTTGGCTCTCTAAATGCAGAATGCCCAGGTCTTCTAATCTCCCAACTTGATATTTCAGCCCTATGACGTCGGATGCTTACCCCACAAAATAAATAGTGCATAGCCGTTCCTGATGCTAAATTAGATACATCATTACATTGTGTACAAATTGGAAAAGAGGACTGAACTTATATGTAGAAGTCTGCTGTTTTTACCCTGAGCTATTTGACTACCATGCCTCATGCAGATACCAAACACACAGTTTCAAAGGACCTCAATTTGTAATTATTATGAGAGGCCAAATGCCCACCTATTTGCGTTGTCATCTGCATATATCTGCCAATACATTTTATTTCGTGACTTTCGTGACTGATCAATTCAGTTCAGAGGTGTTGAAAGAAAAAGATCACATCGGAGCTACTGGCTCCCCGACATATGAAATCTCTGAGCTCCTCATTTGCATTTCCTTGGTCCCAAAGCCCGTAAATTGGAAATTTTCCAGTTGAGATTTCTCCGACTTGAAATCCCCTTTTTGCACAGTAGCTTTGGTCTTAGTGTTTTTGGCCTGTTCAATCCCAAGGTCAATATCTCGAACTCCCCAAACAGACCGGCGGGGTGTCTTGACCCCAGTTTTCAAATATAGATCGAGTTCGTTGACATAGTCATAAGCATCCTTGCCGGCAATGGCCAGTCTTTCATAAGACTCAAGTCCTCCTAAGCGCCACTCGGGCAAGGGCTTGCGTGTATGTCCCAGATCATAGACATAACAAGGGCAGCCCTCCTCATCAACCGCCTTTCGACGCGCAAACTTAACATCAGGCCCGATCGGTGTGTAGTCTTTGATCTGCTTCTCTCTAAATCCCACTACTGGATGAATATACTCAAAAGTCTCTCCCAGCAGGTTTCCGTCTTTGTCGAAAGCATCATAACCTCCAGGCGTGCGCCTCTTTGACCCGTTGGCGTAGTAAAATGGTGTAAAGCTGTCTTTCAGCGGGCCTGTTCCCCAGCCATAGCTGCGTCGCTTTTCGATGGGTTTGGCAGGAGTTGTGGAGGGATGTTTGAAAACAGAGGCTATTGCTGCAGCCTTGCGTTGAACCCAACCTTCCAAGGAGGCATCGCGGTCTGTATTTTCGACTAGCGTTGACATGTGATATTCTCTCTCTTCTCGCTCCTCGGCGAGATACTCGTCATTGATCGACAGGTAGGGTTTGATCTGATCCAGCATCCAGGAAAAGGTGATATTAGACATTTCTTCCATGTCACCTTCGTTTAGGAGGGTGTCACTCGAGCCCCCGCCAATGTTGACATGATAGCCGGGGAACCACACTTGTCTCAATGTTCGGGGGTGGTGCTGGTGCTTGTGGTCGTCTTCTAGCTTTATGAGTCTTCGGGTCTCCTTGTTCAAGGCTCTGGCGGTCTCGTTGAGCCTTCGGGCTGCGTTGTTGACATCCTCATCACTAGCCCTACCGCTACCCTTCAGACGGATCGCTTCTTGCAAGAGGTCGTCCCATTGTTGAGCTTTCTGATCAACCATCGTCTTCTGGATTTTTATATGCTCTGAAGTGACGTTTCCAAATTTGTGGAGATACCACAGAGTAGGCGAAAAGGCGTTGCGGTGTTCATCGAGGGCCAAAGCCTGGAAAGCATGTTTTACATCTGGGGACCGTTTGTCAGTATTTTACTCACCATGGAACCACACGAGACAAGAATATTGAATAAAAAGAGAAGATTGAAAACTTACTAGGTGAAAGCCCAACATTTTCCCACCCATCCTTATCCATCCACCACAAGAGCCACGACGGCAGCTTCATTCCCAGCACCTCTGGCATTCCAATAGCGCCGACTGTGTCATAAACGCCAACAACTTCTATATCTCTCGACCCTTCCTGGGCCCAGTCGCCTTCAGGACGCTTTTCAAATACGAATCTCTCGCCTCGAGCTCCCTGGTTCTCATCCGCCTTTCCATCCATCCACTCAAACCAGAGGTCACTGCAATAAAACCGCTCGCCTGGTTTAGTTTTCTTATAAACCTCCCAGAGATCAGGAAACCGGTTCAAATCCTGTTTGCTGCAGATACCAATATCCGAGATCAAGCCAGCAATGGCCCGGGCCGTGAAGGCGCCCCTCGAGAAACCAAAACACATAATCTGATCGCCGGGTCTGTAGTTCAAGACACAGAAATTATACGCCTCGACAACATTCCCTTCCAGGCCGAGACCAATGGCGCCTTCGATCTTTTTCGCCAATGGACCTGAGGTCGTGCCAATTCCGGAATCGTACCAGACGATTTGTTGCCATTGGTGCCCGTGTGAGTCGGTTCCGACACTGTTCAGAGCGCGGCAGAGACGTGTAACATTAGATGGGACATTTTTTTGGCCTGAGACGGCAGATTGCCATGTTCCGTCGCAGCAGATGATTATGCGCTTGCGGATGGGCTGGGCCTTTGAGTCTCTTCTCTGTTGGGCTGTGTATGATGGCTCATGAATTTCGGAGCATAGAGACATTGTGTAAGTATTATGGGATTTGATGCGCTGTGGGGGAGGATTTGGACAAAGTCTACTACTAGGTGGGTAAGACTCCATCTATATAGCTTTGATTTACACCCTTGTCTATGTTCTTATGACTGTTTCTGCACGAATAGGGTCATCTTGAGGTCGCTTTAAATCATCTATTTTGTCTACCTGCATAAAGCCACCCGCTAGTATACGAACCCCAAGCCCACTTTGGAGCCCACTTTGGGAAGCCTAACCCGGTGTCAAGTCACTCAGGCGCGCCATTATTTCTGTTTTCTTCAGCTTGTGCAGGGATTAAAGCACATCACTGGTTCAGCTTACGATAGTTTCGCACCTTGGAAGCCAATAATCACCCGGAAATGCATAGGCCCCAGCTGCCCCAGCTGCCCCAGCCCCGCATGGTCAGCCTTATCTTCAGTTTGCAAATATCAGCGACGGGGCGGTCCAGCTGTAAACTTTCTCAGGAGTGCCGAATCACAAATCAATATACCTGAGCTGAAATTTTTAATTTTTGTGCTTGCACCAAAGCATGCGTAACTATGCTATGTGGGGATAGCCTGGTGAGGTGGGCGGAGGGCGGACGGAAGGAAGGTGGGCACTGAAGCCTGGAAGCCTCCGGGGTCAGCCCTGGAGCGCTAAAAATGCGCTAAAAATGCGCTAAAACTCCTGAGGTCTAAATCAATCAATAGTCCTTGTTCCATATAATAAAAATGTCTATTTTTTCCCTTCCGTCACCGTTTGAATGAAGGTCTTTTCTATCGTGACATGATTTGGCGAGATTCCCGGCTCAGGGTTCAGGGCTTCCTGACTGCTGTTACTAATACTGAGTTTATTTTTCCGCTGTGACGAGACGACAATGACTGTCTTGTTGTCATCGGGGTCGACATCAGGACGCCAGTATTTTGTGTTCTGCGATCCTTTCGTGGGCTCGCTTTTCAAGCTGGACAGTCGGTATGGCCCGCAATACTTTCCTTCCCGGGATGACTTATGATTAAGAGTCGAATTTTCATCCAGGAGCCAGCGGAATAAAGGTCGAAGGGTGACAAGACTGCCTGCTATAATTCCAAGGCCTGTCTCTATGATAGACCAGATGGCGATTTGGTAAGTGGTGTCTAGAGGATGTTAGACTTTGTCTTGAGGCAAAGGGTTGGCGACATACAAAGGAAATTCTCATCGGCATAAAATCGTAAAAATGGAATTCTGCATATCACTGCCACGCTCGCGCTTTTTATTGTTAGCAATGGATTCATCTTCACTGGCCGGGTCAAAATATCACATACATTGCTCCTAGCCCGAGGATTCCTCCTACTGCAAACTTCGTCCGGCTATTCATTTGCAGCTTCCAGATGAGGAAAGCGGGTAACAGGCCAAGTGCAATATCACATAGAATAGTCACAGAGCTGTAAAAATATGCGATATTCACAATTGTGGACATGTGCAGACATGTCCCGGTGCTGGTTCCATCCACTTGTCGCCAGAAGTGGGAGATCGGATTACAGGTGAAGAGCAGCACAAACCAGAACATAAGCCCGATAGTAATGACGGTAGCAATAATGCTCCAAAGTATCAGTCTGTAAGATTTTTTGACGGCCAACCGGAGAAGCGCAAGGGCAATTGATATTTTGGCAACTACCGAAGCCCATATGTAGAGCATTTGGCCCAGCCACCACCACTATAGAAGATAGTTAGCAACGAGAAAATCTTCCAATGTAAATATTACATACAATAAGTGCTCTCTGATAGATCTCCGTACTTATAAATTCTGCACGGGGGTGTCCGACCCCATTCGATGATCCAACTATGCAGCAAGCATTCAAAATTATAAAAAGGATCTATGGCAAATTAGGATCTTATCACACCATGTCGCATCATTCGGGGTCACCATACCAACGCAGCAACCATCAAAGCATCATCCCAGCCGAATGCTCGGAGGATATTCAGTCGCACGAAACTTCGTAGTGAAACGGTGATAATGGATATAGACATCATCACAATTGAGACGATGAAGATAGCAAGACTTCGGCCCTCAAGGGGCATTGAGTGTCCCATTTTGGCACAGCTCTAGCTTTACTGAACAGCTCAGTCACTTATTCATATCCCAGTTCAGATTTTCTGAGTTGCACTCGTGGCAGTTTGAAAAAGATTTGCCGACCTCGGAGATAAAAAAAAACCCCCCGCCAAGAAAAAAAAAACAATGAACAAAACAAAGGCAAAACAAAGGGAATTTTTCCGAGCCAGAAGCTGTCTACAATTCGGGGATCAAGACTTTCATATATTTCCAAGACTCAGCCCGAAAAAATCCCCGGACTCTTCCATAGCGAAGCCTCGAAGCCAGCGTTAGCGGAGAATTTTTAAATTGTTCGCAGTCAAAGCCTAGATCAATTGAGGAACCATAGGCGATTATAGCGCATAGGGGCGCATAGCCCCCACGTCCTAGCCCCGTTCGAGCCCAAAGGCGTGCGCCATGCATGTATGTAACATCAAATCAACGCCCCGGGCTTCCTAAATTTTGAATACTGGAGACGCCAATAAACCGCCGACCAATTATAATCGACGTAGTTTTCCCTGATCTATTTAACTAGCGAAATGAGGGGCTATTTGGGATGTTCGTGCCGAGATCGCGTACCGTATTGGCAATCTACGGAGTAAAGCGGGTTCAGATGTAGATCTGGTGGCCTAAAGGGGGGCATTATTGTTTCAAAAGAACGCCAAGTTATCAATTTATTGTTAATTATTGTAGTGTTTCGGGGGGGTTATTGTGTAAAATATAGGTACGTGCCACGATTGTAGTATATTTAGTCTTTTCAGGGTGTTTTCAGGGTGCAAATGAGTCAATAGCACAGCCTTGGAATAAGTAGGTACATTAGTTCAGGAATTTTATAACACCCCTGAGTCAGGACCCTATTACTACGGGATACTATATACCTACGGGTCCACTACTGTCTACAGATCCATGGATCGAGATGAGACCTAACAGCCTTGGAGAGAGACCTTCTAAGGTCTGTCCACGTGGACCTGTGGACCTAGAAAGATTCATCTTTTGATCTTAATAGGGCAAAATGGAGCTATTTTGATCTTACAAACAACCATAGCTTGTTGTTTCGCACCTTGAGAGAGAAGGTCGAGAATTTGGGTTTGAAGGCTTAATATCAATACGAGAAGGCATTATTGTATACGGTCGGGATGGCTTCAATTCCATTAAATATGGAGAATTGTACGGTCGGAAGGCTGATTTTAGCTTTAATTGCATTCACATGCGAAGCCTGGCCACTATGCACCTTCGCAGTTGGCCGCCTTTGATGCCATTTTGAGCCTCTCATCGTCGACGGCCTTGGCCTTGGCGCCACATGTGTCTATGCACCGCCGCGACCAGCCCAACCTACTCCCGTTGGTGGTCCCACTCGTGTTAACCACGTAGCTTAGGCATAACCCCATCCCCTTTGGCCGTTTCAATGATGGAAACATCTCCTAGGATAGGAGGATCCCAGGAACAAAAGTGACTGGTGAACTACAGTGACCAGTCCAGTGCAGACATAGTAGGACGTCCACCCACAAATTAATATAAGCAGCATCAATCCGGGCATTCCAGGAGCGGAACTGGGAAAGCATGATGGCCCACAGCTGTGTCGATCGAGTAACAGCTATCGCCAAGCATGGCCTTGTAAAAGGTCTTACAGTTGCCCTGATACCAGTCATCTACGGCTAGGCCCTCGTGGACATCGGCTGGGGAGTCGAATTGATGTTGTGGCGTCTGGGGTATGCACTCAGACGTAGTAGTTCAGCCAGAAGTTAGAGCATGCTAATATAAACGTGTCAGTGAATGGCTATATATAGAAGGTGAAATGATATAAAAGCGGCAGTCATACAGCTGTCAATGCCGCGATTCTAGGCCTTGAATGAGGCATCGGCCATGCTGTAGTTGGTCTCAATCATATCGCATTGACCGCTAGATGCGATGAGAGAGGGAAACTGTCACAATTGGGTGATACACCCGCAATTTTCCACCAACCTTGGAAGATTGACCGCAGCCCAATGCTCTTACTCGGATTTGGATTCTTTAATATACGGTTTGATTTCCTGGTAAATATACCTAATCTATGTAGTCTTCCAAGGTTCCCCATCTCTGACAGAAGTACTATTAGAACTCTAAAGGTATGGGCCAAGCAAAGTACAAAAATTGCAAAAAAGCCCTGGAGGATAGGAGTATACATCTCTAGTCATTCGTTTTAATTGTCATTCTTTACCATTCTACCCACATTCTTTGGATTCTTGTCTACACATATGGCACTATGACTCCCTCCTAGCTCATCACAGTCTTGGGGACAATATTTCTACTCTCTAGGAAAGCCAGGATCAAGACATTCCGCTAGTCCTGGCTATCGTTGTAGAGACGCATGTCATGGTCTGGACCTTCCTTGCCAGTATTTAATGCCATGTCGCAAGTGACCACAATTTGAATTTTCTTCTAGACTCCTGTATCTAGGAACTCATTGCATTAAACTGAGCAACTGAGCTCCTAGTCCGAACCGTGAGACTACTCTCATTCTCCGGGATGTATTCTAGCGTGATTCTTTGATCCTTGAAAACGAGTGTAATATAAAAGAGCTGTATAAATATTTCTCTATTCTTCCTAACTAGATTGAGGGTTAAGAAAAGTGAGGTTATGTTAATGTTGTATTTATGTACCCTTTGTATGTAGTTGCTATATAAAAGATACCTAATCCCCCAATTTGCTATCCGGTGCAGTTCGCCGACACCTATCTACATATGTAGTTACGTGTTGATGGGCTTGCCACTAATACCGCAGTTTTCCAGGCTTTTTTTTTTTTGAACAACCGGACTTTGAATGACCTTCCAAAAGTCGGTTCTTTCTATAGTTTCTAGTTGGAGATCTTATTTGGCCGGACTCGACTCGCTTTTCTCGCTCTACTAGTGTACTCAGCCTTCTTTGAGCATGCATTTTGTATACTTGGAGGATTGTGTCTAGGTGGAAGACTTAGTTACTTCTGTGGGAGGTAATCAGGTCAAATATGTATGAGACAGAGGTCGGAGACTGGTTCCCGGTATACGCCCCCTCATCGACCGCGGTTCAACAAATGTCCATAGTTCTTGGGGGAAATATGGAGAGCAGAGCTTCTCAAGAAGTTCGGAGATAGTCCTTGGAAGGTATAACCGATAAATATATATATTGAATTCTTCAGAGGCAGTCGGTGTTCCTTCGGCCCCCCGCCCTCGGAGTTGTGGCCGAGATCCCAACTCGAGGCTTCAAAGGTCTTGAGCTTTATTAGGAACGTGCTTCCCCGCACCTATCTGTTTCACTCCGATATTGATTCAAAGACCCGAAACACATCGCTTTTGCTATTCAACATTAAACTCTCTATAGTATCATAGAGCTCAGCTATGTACGATGTTGCTCTATACAAACATTCAATGTCCTATTTACTCACATCATACAAGGGTTTATACAGCATCTTTTGCTTTCTTCGAAGCCCTCTGGGAGGTACGTACCAATATCAGCTTTATTCAGTAGACATGCAATTCTAACCTATACAACCTCAGGGCGGCGTTAGCCATGTCTTTGTCAATTTGGGATCAGACCACCCCTCCATCCTCGAGGCAATGGTGAAAGGCCAGAAAGAAAAGAAAGACCAATTCCCTACAATTATTACATGTCCCAATGAGGTAAGTTTGATTGCATAATGCAACCCACCAAGCTTAGCGGTAGCACTTCTGTCACAGTCAGTAACATAAATGAGAGCCCCACTTACGATAAAATGCGTTTAGATGGTTGCGCTCTCCATGGCGGACGGCTATGCCCGATTAACTGGAAAGCCACAAGCGGTAATTGTTCATGTCGATGTTGGCACGCAGGGGCTCGGAGCCGCAGTTCACAACGCCTCATGCGGACGCGCCCCGGTTTTAATCTTCGCTGGTCTATCGCCTTACACGATCGAGGGAGAGATGCGAGGGTCGCGTACGGAATATATCCACTGGATCCAAGACGTGCCCGATCAGAAGCAAATCGTCTCCCAATACTGTCGGTACACTGGTGAGATCAAGTCGGGCAAGAACGTTAAGCAGATTGTCAACCGCGCTTTGCAATTTGCAACTAGTGACCCACAGGGTCCTGTGTACATCACTGGGGCACGAGAGGTCATGGAGGAGGATATCGAGCCATACCAGCTGAACCAGGCTGTTTGGGGTCCAGTGGGACCGGCTGCCCTACCAACTTCCGGCGTTGAATTGATCGCATCTGAGCTTGCGGCTGCGAAGGCTCCTCTTATCATTACTGGATATTCCGGGAGGAAATCTCAGGCTGTGACTGAGCTTGTCGCATTGGCAGATAGCTTCAAGGGAATTCGTGTGCTTGACACTGGTGGTAGCGACATGTGTTTCCCCGCTAACCACCCTGCATGGTTGGGATTGAGATATCCAGGCCACGAGGTGGTGGAGAGATCCGATCTAATCCTCGTAATAGACTGTGATGTCCCCTGGGTGCCTACCCAGTTCAAGCCGTCTGCGTCGGCCAAGATTATCCACATTGATGTCGACCCTTTGAAGCAACAGATTCCAGTTTTCTACATTCACTCGATGGCTACATTCCGTGCAGACGCTTCCACGGCACTCAAGCAAATCAATGATTATGTCGCTTCGCAGGAGACTCTGCAGCAATCCATTGGCTCCAAGGAGAACATCGCTATGGGCCAACAGAGAGACGAGGAGTATTCGAAGCGTCGACAAGAAATCTCCAATCTGGCCGTGGTCCCGGAGGGTGGCAACGGGGCCTTCTTGAACATCAACTATCTCATGGCGCAAGTCCGTCAGGGCGTTCCAATCGATACCATCTGGGCTATCGAGTCCGTGACCTTGACCCATTTTGTTGCGGACCAAGTCTCAGCTACCCAGCCCCAGTCATGGATTAACTGTGGAGGTGGTGGTCTCGGCTGGTCTGGCGGTGGTGCACTTGGTATCAAGCTTGCCAGTGATATGCAGCATGGAGGACGTGGAAATGGAAAGTTTGTTTGTCAGGTTGTTGGCGATGGAACTTT